TATTCAAAATGTCAAGTCCATATGTTTTGTCATTTGGGAAAAAATATAAAAATTAGAATTTGGACTGTATACTATATACAGATATAAATATAGCCATAATATAAATAGGTGTGCTTCGCGAGTACCTACACATTTTTCAAATAATGTACCGGATGTTGTAAGGAAGGAGCAAGGGCGATTATTTAAGAAATAATATTATGCGATTTAATATGTTATTAATTTCTACGATTTTTGTTAAAAACCGTACTGCATACATAATACAATATACACTGTGTGTAGAATGTCTTATTGTAAAAATGATGTCATTACATGTGTAAAAATAAATACAGAAAAAAGTATTGATTCAAAACGTAATCGTGCAAAATGAACGCTCATAACTTCTATGATAGTTAATTAGTATTAGATTTACTAAGAAAAAAAAGTTGATTAAATTATAATATGCCCAACCTACTTTCCACGCAACAGTCAAAGATTTCGTTGTATGAAATTGTATGGCTGAAAATACATATTTTAATGTAAATCCTTTTGAATTGAAATAATTAAATTTTCACTGTGAACCATCTTTGCTTTGCTATAAATTTTGATTTTTATCAACGTTTGATACGTATCTTGCCAAAACCATAATTCCGTATTCTGAATCACGAATATAATATGAAAAATCTACCTTCTTTAGTCCTTACGTTAAACAATCGGACAATTACAAGGGCAAGTTAAATTAAATACCTTGATCTAACTCTACGTAGACGCCTAGACTCTGGACTCCACCTACTCAAACCTCCCTGTAAAGTTGAAACCCAGTAAACCCAAACTCTTTCTAACCAATAAATTTGCCACATAGGTTCAAATCAATAATTAGACCAGTATAGACATGTGGCATGTAGTTATTGGGTTCTGGAAAGCCCTCTTATTCTAAAACGCTTCAAGGTTTTCAACCTATCTGCTTGCGATAAAATATCCTCTCTTTGGTATTCCACCAACACAATCTTTTTAAAGACCTGAAACTTATCGCAACGAATAAATTACTTGAATAATATTACAATACATTTCATACTAATTTAAACCATCATAGTAGTCCACTTCTTAAACGACATAATTATCCTCTGTTTAACTTCCCAATGTACCATGCACATATAAGACTAAAAATACATCACCAATAGGAATTAATTTTTGAAAAATCATACTTAATAAGTTCCAGGGTGACACTGATGAGTGCCTTAAATTTTATTATTTCTTTGCCACACAAACCCTACTTCAACTCCACACAAAACATATCATGAAACATATTATGACTACATAAGATAATTAATATCCTTTTGTCAATAATAAAAAATGTCTATTCAACGTCTGCTGTGCTATAGTATTACGTATGTACTCCATGATACAGAGTGTTTCGTAAGCAATTAAAATAATCATTTTATGGGGAAACTCAGTTTTCTTGTCTTGCCTGTTACTCCCAGCCCTCTTCCCTCACGTGCAAAAATTATTGTACCTAATTGCAATTTTTTTTTACTAAATATTAACGCATAATCAGCAATATTTGGCACTGTATTAATCGCTATATAAAACAGTCCTATTAACAACTCGAATTTCTTACAAAGGGATGCGTTGGACATACTACTTTGAGCTCAGTACTATTACATTTATCCGAAACAGTTTTGCTTACATAGGTAAAGTTCATCTATAAACCTGACATATTTCTCTCAGTTTTTAAGATAAAATAATTTAAATTATTCACTTTTATTTGTATTTATTTCATAGTAAAAGTGAAGAAGATTTTATTTTTAAAATTTAAACGATAAAAACTATGAGGAATAATAAAAACTAACGTATGAATTAATTTTAAATCTATTAAAATACCTGTATTTCTGATTGTCATTTTAACTTTAAATTAAAAACCAAAGCGTTAAATATTGCAAAAAACAATACTCGAATTCGGTCCTCTGGATTTCAATGATTTTGAATAGAGTTTTTGAATAATGAGGGACTTATTATCATGCAAGTCCTATTTAAGGGTCTTGGTAAGAAGAATTTATCATATAGTTTTCTATAAATTCCCTTGATTTTTACTTCATATTATGCAATTAAAATAACATAGGTCGAAACGTAAGAAAAACGTTTGTGTGGAAGCGAAGTAGAAATGAACTGACCTGATAATGATTTTATGTCAACGTTTTATTATGTGTGCATTTTTTTTTTTAATTAGCAAGTAATTGGGATGAAATTTCTTCATATCATAATAACGTGTTATACTGAATAACCCTTAGGCAATATAACTGTTACCAATTTTCGCCTCATAATACATTTACCTGGCAAAAATTATTTTTCTGTTCCCTGAATTCACAGGAAAATTCAGTTATTCGAAGTTATTATTTAAAAATAAGATTGCATTTTTGACAGAGTTCTTCTCAAGTAATATTTCTATTTCAGTAATTTTATCTTACTACAACTAAACAGATGTATACAATTTTACATGATTTTATATTTTTAAGCCAGTAATTTCATAAAAAGATTAACTGATTAAATACATGAATTAATCAAAGAGGTTAAACACTTAATGTAAAACCTGTATTATAGGATTTAAACTTTCTAGGTAGTTAATTAATTTTAATATAAAGGTAACTAGTTATAAAAATTAAAATGCATAATATACAACTGGAATTATAGTGCATAACAAAATAAAGGATACAATATAAACCATTCTTATGAGAATTAATATGTGTAGTTTGGATATATTATGCTACACTAATATTGAGTAAAATCATTAAGTATAGTATTCAAACCAGTAAATTGTTTTTTATCCAAATGGTTCTATTGATAATTATATTAGTCCTACACTTATAAATATAACACAATGCCTTAGAATTTAAAAAAAAATATATAAGCACTAGTTAACTTTCAAACTGACCTCGGCCGTAACGTATGCGGTTTTGTATAATTACGCATAACATAAACCATTATTTTTAACAAAAATATTCAACTTTTTAGTCTCATAGTTTGAAAATTATGTAAACGTGTGTTTTTCTGGACTAAATAATAAAATGTTGGAGTTAAAGTTTCCCTTATAGTTTCAATTTTTAGAATATAGACAAGTATATTATGTTATACTCATATTCAGATTATTTACGCAATACTCTCGCAAGGTACAAGGTTATATTTTAGAACCGTCCATTCAAAATCAAATTACATGAATAAACTTTTCATATTTACTCAAAACCACAAAAGACACCATAAAATATAATCAACATATTGAAAACCATCTCCATGCTAACAATATACAGTAGCAGTACATTGTTCGATATGAATTATAACTATGATATGATGCTAAAAAAAAAAATGTATTGCCTTTAAAAGTTCAAAACAACATAGACGACGCTGTCATAATAAAAAAAAAATTGTTTGAATGAACTAGTATGAATCATGTTATTATTATGCAAACACTAAAACATCAACAATAATACCATTATTTGCGATATCGATGAAAAATTCAATATTCTACACCAGTAGGTATGGTTATTAAACACTCAAATATTTGGATCTATACAATTCAATCTAATTCGTTTTTAATTCAGATTCGTATAATGTATTATGACTAGGTACTGCACTGAATAATTGAATGTTACAATAATGGTAAAGATAATGATATACTCATTACGTCGAAACTCGGCTAGTATCCAGGAGAAAATATACCTACTGACATACGTACCGTAATCCGGTATAAACCCCCCCACTGGAGTATGTTTTTTAATGTAAAATACTTCAGCGCGACACGAGTAGAAGTCAATTAAGAGTTTCGGACACAAACAAGAAATCGGTCGAAAGCACCACTAACACTAATTCGTTAGTTAAAAAGCAATTATATTAAATCGCAATCGTGTGGGCATTCAAATGATGGGGCAGTAATTCAATATGGTATATTGTTCAAACGAGGTGTTGGTTGCTTTCATCATTACTGTATGGATATCCACAAAAAGGGTAATACGGCCTTCAGCATGCGTCACGTAAAACTAACATCCAGATGGATCCATTCTCCATCCAACCTTAGAGAACCTAACTTATACTAGCTTAAAAACGGGGCAATGCTAAAGCACACACTTCTGACAAGTAAGCCCATAATCGGTTTGTTTGTCTGGAAAAGGATTCGCAACCCTTTTGTGATACGCGTAATGAGAATAACTCGAGCTCGATGACAAAAATGACGAAGTTGAAACATATTGTGTCAATAAACGATATTCCCAGATTATTCCTTGTGAAAAAATGTAATGAAGAGCCAAGGTTTGGCAAAAAAAAAAAACACATACAGTAGGTATAAAAGGTTATCTATATTTTAGTGTCTGTATACCCACTGTTTCTAAAAGTCTTTACTGTTTTTAATATAGATATTTTTTTTTTACGAAATTCAATTTTTACAATTTTTTTATACTTGTTATCTTTATGTTTTTACTTTTTTTTACATTTTTAGTCTCATACTGTAGAGCGAAATATTCTTAAGGGTATTTTGAAACACCACAATTGATATTGGAAAGTGTAGTTAATTAGTTCTAAGTAGATTATAGCTTAGATGGGCGATACGGATATCCTCAAAATCATTGGTCTACTACAACTCAACTCATCATAACGTTAAATGCTTATAACTTATAAGCTAAAACTAAATTTAACTACTTCGAAGTTTGATTATTCAAAGTATTCCGTATAATATTCTGTTTTGGAATATAAAATCCAAATTGAACGTCGTCATTCAAAAAAGTAAAAATACTTAAAAAATGGTATTGGTAGAATAATAAAATATACCTTTAATTTTAATTTCGAAAATAGTGTTTTGCAATGATGAAATAATATTTAAAAAAAATATAAATCCACCAAAGTGTGGACGTTGACACAAAAATGGATCACTTTATATTTCTTGCAGACTTATTATAAAATAAATCGTTTTGGTGGTATTGTTAAAAGTAAAGGAGCAAAATATGTTGAAATGTTCATATACTCATATGTGATTTACTTACTTAAAAAAATACTTGGCGTCCTTGAAAGCAAAAAACGGTACAGTATATGTGAGCATCCATATATTTCCGCCTCCACAATCATAATATGGTTTGCTCCACTTGCCATCCTCGTACGACACGGCTAGGATGTCGTCAGGAAAACTTTTTGTATGACTTGTTTGATTCCAAGTATATGTGTTGATTGCTGAAAACATATTTTTATTGAAACATGAAAAAATATTTGAATGCAGTAACGATTATTTCATTACATTTTACTGCGTTCAATATGATGTTTAGTGTACAATAATAGTGTTATTAGTTATTTATTATCATCGATTTGAGGTCGATTTGAGGTCGATTGGATATTATGAATTCATTCACAATAATACCGGGATGGGTAATGGCATTTTATTTCGATTCCATTCTGCAGTAAAACTTTATTCAAGCGCAATATATTTTGCATTTATCAAATGTTTGCTGGGAAAAATTTGAACTAAATAGGTATTTATCACGATAAAAGCTACGAGAGGTAACTCAGTAACGTTAAAAGCAAAACCAAATTACTGTCTAGTGCAGATCATTACGATGCCATAATATGCTATATACTGTTCATCCATATTCATGGAGTTACATTAAACTAATATATTTTGTTGCATAAAATTCCTATGTCTAACTAAAAATCTAAAATGATCAAAAACCAGCATATTTGTAACCTTTTAACCCACCGTGTTTGTTTTAGTTTAGCTTATTATTTTAGGTACTCAGAAAAACCTACAGAATATATTATGAACATATTTCCCCAATCTAAAAAAAAAAAACATTTTAAAAACTCCATACCTTATTGGTACACTTTGCACATAAAAGTACGGTTAAAATAGATTAAATAAATAAGTTAATCATAACCAACGTATATCCCAAGTAATATTTTATATTTTAATCGTTAAAATGTAATAAAGTATGTTGTATCGCAATAAAAAAAAAAAAATTATAAAAAAATATTGTTGCTTAATATTGATTAACTGCCCATAGTATTAATATATCTTAATATAATAATTTTTTTAGCAGTCTTTTTTTTAATAATCTAAAAAAAAATTCTAACTTCTATATTTTTATGTAATATTAATTGAAGTGCATTACATTAAACAACACCATCGTTAAATATATGATATAGCATAATGCATTTAAGAGGATGTCAGCAGAATATTTGTTTTCTCTTTCAGACCCGTGCTATAGAACAAGCCAACATGGATAAAACGGATTCTCGTCAAACAGTTATTTTTATTTTTATCCGATTTTTGAAAAATCTTATAGTAAAAGTAAAATCAACAATAACATCAAGTATACAGGATAATATTTATGAAGGTTTGATGTTAGTTTTGTATTTTATTATTATTTGACTTTTTACTCGACTTAACAAAAAAAAAATAAGGTTATTTAAATGGATATTAAATTATTTTAAGACAATATGTAGATAAACCGATATGTCTACCATCAAAAATATTATTCTTTGTAATTTTCGTAATTGATGATTTCACTCTAAAATGGTAACTCAAAAAGATAAAAAAAAATTGAATGCGTTTTGTCTAATAGCAATATATTATACAATATGTACAATATCAATGACGTGCCAGAATCATATTATTTACTACTCAAAAGAAAAATGCGTATAGAAATTTTAAAGGTATTTCCAATAAATTTATCGGATTAATTTATTTTTGAATAACTCTTATACTGTATTCGATCACTATTCGCTTTAGCCAAATGAAACAGTTGATTGCATTATTTATACTTAAAATACCAATCATAATAAATAATGAACACTTAAATGAACATTTAATTGTTTTTGAATGATACTTTGAATATTTTAAAAATAATGATAACATTTGAATATAAATCAATAACTTAAAAAATATATAGGTGTTTATAACAGATACGTTGAAGACCCAGTAACAATAAAACAAACCCTAAATATTCAATAATTGTATCATTTATTTAAATTGGGATTTTAAATTTCAGGCGCTACTTGATAATCAGCAGTTTTGTTATTTTTTTTTTCCCCCACAAATACAAAACTGTACAATTTATTATAAACGCAATTGTTTGAATGGTTAGGTAATAAATAGAAAAATATGCTACGCTCTAATTGGTAATTGTATTGTTTCCCCCAAAATATAAGAAAATAGCTTTATCATGGTTATAATATTTATAAACTCACTATTGTATTAATTTAATATAATATACTTAACTACTTCAGCTTTTGGTCACTTTTATTATATTTTTAGAAACGTAAATTAACTATAGTGATTATAATCGAGTTAGCTACTACCATAACGAAATAGAAATATATCCTCAGTTAATATTGGAAAGAGTCCAATTAGACCAACTTGAAATAAAAGCAAAGCAATAAATAATTTATATTAAATTTATCTTGAAAAAAAATAAAACTGTAAAACTAAACTACGATTAAAAATAAAAATATTTGTCTAAGACTAATGTAGATTTACAAAATGCATTTAAAACAGTTTTTTCGTACAAACTTTGAGACTGTAAATAACTGTTTATTTGACAATTTATACTTACGTTGTCAAAATATTAGCAAGCATTAAATAATTAAAGCGAATATTTGATACATTTCATATAAACTACAAGATTTAAATTTATTTGCTGTATACATGTTATGTTTTGTAATTAATTTCAAATTAAAAGATTTAAAAAAATGAAAATGCTCACAATATACCGAGTATACCTCATAAACAAATGAAAATCAAAAAAATGTGTAAAAATTATTATAATGAATACAGATGAATGTGCATCGTAAAATATACACAAACAAATAATGCTTCGAACGCATTGGTTGATGTTTGGATTTTAAATAAATATAAAAAAATCTGTCCCTCTAATATTTCAATAGCATTTTAACCAAACATATTAATATATTGCTCACACAATTTATGACTGATTATACAGATTACAATGTAGTGTGTGATTTAATACGATATCGCATTATTTTAAGACGTCCATATAGGAACATTTTGATTTCGAACTATCGTATTATGCTCACCCAATAATATTTTGTTATTCTCTTGGAATATTCTTTCGATGCAATCTAATGTGCGTCTAATTTTTTTGGTATTTTCTTATTCAATAGCTCCGTGTCAATATTCTGTTTTTCGCGAAATTAGATCCGCAGACTTATTATTACAGACTAAGGTTATATTATTACTGCGTGTTGGTCGAGGGTGGTCGATACAGTTGTTTCAATAAAATAAGACCGTTTACAATGGATTGCGATAACTTCGTATGCACCTATATTGTCGGACTGTACAAGTTTCACCACCGGGTCAAAGGTGTGTATTATACAAATGTCGGCGGTTGTATTTCCGTCCCGACGCCGTTTATTATTCGTGCACAACATATAATATAATGCGAATCATAAGATATTATTATTATCCGTGTACAATGTTGTTGTGTTGTAGGCAGTGCCCACGAGAGGTACTTTCGCGTTAAAGGGGGCCCATATACATATAGTACACAATGTTTAATTTCGGATAAAGTTTACTCATAAACTTCCCGAATCTGTTTAATTTCGCCCTATGCCGAGAGTCGGGTTCACCTTAGTTGTACCATGATACGGATATTGGCTATTCTTAGGACGTGTTCAAATCATAATAATAATAATATTATTATTATTATTATTATTATTATTATATTGCAGTACCCAGGCGTAAGTACTCTTCGACGAGCGGTATCGTCTGAATGCGTGTCACGTGCAACCTCATAACATGTGACGTATTCGTTTGTGTGTGTGTGTGTGTGTGTGTGTGTGTGTGTGTGTGTGTGTGTGTGTGTGTGTGTGTGTGTGGTAGTTTGGGGAGGAACGATCCGATGGTATTTACTATTTACCTACTGTGTGCATATACTTTGGCATCGTTATCACACCAGATCACTAACACTCCACGTGGCGCTTAGAGAACTTTACGCTGAAATTGAAATCAATCACAAAAAAAAAAAAGTTTCACATTTAACGGCGGATGTCAGTAGGTATAAGTAAGATTGAAATATAATTACGTGGACTGTAGGCACTTTAACGGAAATTAAACGCCAACATAAACTAAGTTTATGATGAATATCGTTTTGAAGACCAAATACAAACAATGCAACGTAGAAAGATTTAATTAGGCAACTATAGTTCTCTATACAGTTAAACTGTGCCAGATGTTGCTAAATCTTATATAGATGGCAAACACCTGGTATTTTTTTTTTTTTAATTTTATGGATACAATTGCGACAAAATTAAATTTTAATTCGAGTGCCCATCTATATAATATACTATCTGGTCGAAAGAATAATTGCTTCCATAAACAATCTAATGATTTTATATTATTTTGTTTCATTTTTTTTCCACTGTACAATTGGTGATTACAATATTAATGCAATACAAAAATAAATTATGAATGAGGCTTGGTAAATCCCTTTTTGGCGGGGATCGTTATAAAAAGATAATAATTCTTGTACATAAATTCGTTCAGTTATCATTCTGATTGTGATGAAGTAAACTCTGTATCTTGTTTTTCCACTGCATGTGATGTTTTTGCTTTCCTCCAAAATTTAAAAATTAAATGATTTTCATGAAAATGTCATAATATTATATTGAATTTATTCTATTATTTTCTATAGTTAACCTACTATAATATTATTAAAGCCAGAAATAGATGAAATTGTCATGATTCTTTTACGAAATTATTATTCGTTTGCTATCATGACAATATAATTATTATAAAGTTTTAACTATCTAGATATATGTTATTATTTATTATTAATAATAAAACTATATTTTAAATGCATTTTTAACAATGTATTTAATTCAAAAAAACCGACGATGAACAACTAATTAATTAAATTAAATTAAATTCACATTTTTTTAACTTAATGTACAGCATAATATTTTGTATTATTATGTACAGTCATTAGTTTTTAGTAGTTTACAAGTATTTATTTTTTTAAGTTTTTTTTAAGAAAATTTTTCGTTAAAATTCAACACGGATGATAATAATATAATATATTAATATACACTAAATTAAAGATTTTTTTTGTGTAATTATTTTTTCATCATGAAAAAGATTATTTTTGCAGATTCGAAAAAAATGTTGAATATTTAGTTAAAGGAAAAATATATTATTATTATTATTATTAAGTAAAAACTTA